TATAATAGCATCACAAAAAGGTAACGAATGACCAGGGTGCAGGTTTCTGCGCCAGAAGGAACGATGTACATGTAACGTGAAACATGGGTAACGTACCGTGTAGGTAAGGACAAGGCAAGCCTAATTTGAGGTATTCATTGGAATATCTTCCTTCACTCAGACATGAAAATACATCTATCATCAATGGAATCAATGACATCACGATAACTGAATTCTCATGAACTCACCGGGAGTATCAATTCGATATCCTTGATGTTTGCTTATCGCACTATTAGCCCATTTGGGTGAGCAATATTCGTATGTTGGGGAAGAGCACAAAATGTGGCTGCACGCAACAGCAATCGCAACACTTGCTTAAATAACCTACGTACTTAAAGCATTCGGTACATGTATTATCATCTCTGCCCTCATGCTACCGATATATGTAGTTCACGGCTGGTTTCTAACTTTACTTCCTAGCAGATGACTGTAAAAGCATACGGTGCCACACATAAAATGATGGCCGCAGAAATGAACTGCATGTATACCATTCTGGTTCTATTGGTTCCTGCTGGATCTACCTGTCTAGCTTTCGATCTATATGTAAAACCTCACGAAGTCTTGGACTATCACGTCTGGCATACAGTGTCTCTACAGATGTCTATGATGAGCTGGTATATAGTGATATTTCAGCGTCCTTGATAGGATTCAATCCCACCGGACTGGTAGACTTGGTTTATGTAAAGTCCTTTAATAATACTCTCTAGTTTGAAACTCGATACAAATTGTGATCATAGAAAGACAGTCAAACGAGGTCAAAATCAATGATTTCAGTGGAGATTGGTGGCGCATATCCACATGAAAATCAAATGCCTGTCCATTTTACTGTTAAGTTGTTTCATCGTACTCTCTCGTAATGCGCCTAATTCACAGTACATTATATTTTGCACGCTAAATTTACGCATTTTTTTTTATTGAAGATTACACACTTCGTATTACATGTAGATTAAAACTGCCTCCTTGCCCCATCCGTATTGTCCAACATTAACTGGATCCTTGTTCGGTATCAATATTCAATCTAAGCAGTAAAAACAAAACCCTCGAAACGCTACGTTTGGTTTCCACCGTTTCATTTCAACTTCGCTGCGGGGCTGGAACATCGCTGGTAGAATGCTAGACCGTAAAAACCTAGTCAACGCAGGCGTGCTGCTCGCTATTGTCGGAGTCTCGACTTGCGCGGCAGCGACCTGCTCGTCTCTAGAAAGCAACATCGACTACCAAGGTCTCGATATTGGCAGCGCTCGCAGTGCATCGGTGAACGGATGCTGCTCGATCTGCTCCAAGACTAATGAGTGTGGCGCGTTTACTTGGACGAACTATAACGGTGGTACCTGCTGGCTCAAGAAGTCCAAGGGCCCCACTAAAGTTAACAATGGCGCCGTATCGGGGGTTCTTCAATCGTCGACTCCGGCATCGACAGCGACTTGCTCGTCTCTGGAAACCAATATCGACTATCAAGGTGCTGACGTTGGCAACGCTCACAGTGCCTCAGTGAACGGGTGCTGCTCGATATGCTCCAAGACGAACGGTTGTCGTGCGTTTACCTGGACAAACTACAACGGAGGAACCTGTTGGCTTAAGAGCTCCAAGGGTGGTTCTAATAGCAACCCTGGTGCTGTATCTGGAGTTCTTCAGACGTCAAATTCTGGATCGTCGGTGGACCCAGCTTCAGCAAAGTACTCCGTTGCGGCCTACGCTGTTGGCGACTGGGGTCAAACTCTGGACATGAGCTCTTGCTGTGGTGGCACATACAACAACTTCGACCTCCACGCCCAGGAAATTGTATTGGGCTTCAC